CTCCCATTTCTCAAAGTGTTAGGCACCTGGAGCCTTTCCTCTTGGCCTGACTGCATAAGTGGACAGACTGTACCTAGAGAAGATGGTCCTATTACTGCTGCATCCATTTTGGTCTTTTCCTTTTGAAACTACAAAGTACTCTGATCAAAGCATTGCCTCATGGATACATAGGAAAAACCCTTTTCTTTTTTGTTTAGTTTTTGTTTTGAGAAAGAAAGAAAGAAAGAAAGAAAGAAAGAAAGAAAGAAAGAAAGACCACTCAAGAAGAATGGCAAGAAGGTAAAAAGTAAAAAAAAATACTTTGATAGTATCTTTGTGAGATAACTTATGGCTATCCATGCCAAGTGAGTCAGAACTGCTTGTGTAATAACTGGAATATGAGCGGATAACTTAAATATGAGCCAGCAGTGTGCTGCAACTGCCAAGAAAGCCAACGCAATTTGAGGTTGCATTAACAGAGGGACAGAATCAAGATGATGTGAAATGTTAATACCACTTTATAATGCCTTGGTAAGGCCATACTTGGAATACTGCATTCAGTTTTGGTCACCACATTGTAAAAAAGATGCTGAGACTCTCGAAAGAGTGCAGAGAAGAGCAACAAAGATGATTAGGGGACTGGAGGCTGAAACATATCAAGAACGGTTGCTGGAACTGGATATGTCTAGTTTGATGAAAAGAAGGACATGGTAGCAGTGTTCCAATTTCTCAGGGGCTGCCACAAAGAAGGCTGGGAGGGTGGGTTTATCTATCCTCCAAAGCACCTGAAGGCAGGGCAAGAAGCAATGGATGGAAACTAATCAAGGAGAGATCCAACCTAGATCTAAGGAGAAATTTCCTGACAGTTAGAACCATTAATCAGTGGAATGGCTTGCCTTCAGAGGTTTTGGGTGCTCCAACACTGGAAGTTTATAAGAAGAGATTGGATACCCATTTGTGTAAAGGATTTCCTGCTTGAGAAGGGGGCTGGACTAGAAGACCTATTATTCTGTTAAGATACCATCAGTGTAGTTTGTTTGAACATGCAAAGACAGAGGGAAATTGGGGTATTTGTATGTTCTGTTAACAGCCTATGTTAATGATCTGTATGTAATTTCAATTATTATTCCAATATAAAAATATTTTATGCATATACAGGTAGTCTTGGTAATAATCCTTTGGTGTTGCATGTTATCTGGAACTCCTAGTTTTTGAACCCTGAAGAGATGGATAGGGATAGGTGTCTAGATTATCTTCTGTCACATGTACTTTGGACTGCTGCTTATCCTGGCTGTTGTAAGGAATGGCCAGAGAAATGACCATCTATTCTTGTTCTGCTGTATTTTGGTCATTAAATTCTTGATTTGAATATTATTTTTTTTAAATCAAACATTGGATGTTTAAAAAAATTTTTTTAACATATCAAGTAACCCACTAAGAGTTGTGACATGGTTGCAGGATATAAATTCAACAAATACTGTAATAAATAAATAATTGAAGGAGTAAGGAAACATCCGTAGGAAGATACAGATTTCTTTCAAATGTGCTTTTGTCCCTGTGCTGGTGATCCTTGCACTGTAGTGAATAATAGCAGAAGCCTTTGCTTGTAATGTTTGCAGGAGGCTTTTAGAAAAGGACACAGTCATCCAAAATAGAATTCCAGATTTCTATCTTTTTTTTTAATTGTAGTATCTTTTCTCCTTGGTAGGTAATGCTGGTAATTGATGCAGCTGTAACCCATTTGGAGAATTTGCACTGTCTGGAGGACTACCTCGCTAATCTTGGCAGGAAACATCAAGCAGTTGGGGTAAAGGTTGAATCCTTTCAGGTAAGCGCTTATAGCAAGTTTGCTGTGCCTTGCTTTTCGCCGCAGCAAACTCACCGCAGGACAACTCGCCACAGACGATTCCATGTGGGATAATTCAGTGTAATAAATGTTATCCACCGGTGTTTCTTTGACATTATTTCCAGTGACAAAAATGGAAATAATGTCGAAGAAACAGTGGTTGGTAACATTTACTGTGCTGAGTTATCCTGCATGAAATTTTCCATGGCGAGTTGACCAAGGCGAGATGGTCGTGGTGAGTTGGCTGTGGCCAACTCATTGTCCTATTCCATATTACAGGTAGTCCTCACTCAGTTAACATTCACTAAGTGACTGATTGAAGTTATGGCAGTACTGGACAAATAGTCATTACAGCCGATCCTCAAAGTTATGGCCCGTTGCAACATCCTTGGAGTTATGTCATCAACTTTGGTTCTTGGCAGCCCATCTGCATTTACAGCTGCAACATGCACTTCAATTCCTCCTACCTGCCTATTCCCCCCCAACATTGTCCTTTGACCGTCGTGCATGCTGCCATCTACCCCTGTCATCCCACATCACCCTCAGCTGAGCTTTGCCACCTCTTTCTCCTGCTGCTAATGAGGCATGGCTGGTTGAGGCCTCTCAAGAACAAGGAGTTGCCTCAGCCAGGTTCGAGAAAGTAGACCATGGAGATCAGCTGGGAGCAGTGAAGGCTGGCAGGGGTAGGTGGTGTGCTAGGTGCCCAAATGGGCAGAGCTTAGGAGGAGATAGGAAGGCACGGTGGGGGGGAGGAAGTTGATGTGGAGACAAGTGTGCAGATCAGGAGAAGTGTGAGATTCTTGCCTCAGGACAGTGCAGTTCTTGCCTAATGAACAAAGCTGGAATTAGTAGAACTGCTGTTGCCAAGAGTAGTGATATTTTGCATACAGAGCAGAGGTGGTATTCAGCCAGTTCTGACCAGTTCTGGAGAACCGGTAGTGGAAATTTTGAGTAGTTTGGAGAACTGGCAAATACCACCTCTGACTGGCCCCGCCTCCATATATTCTCCGCCTCCCAAGTCCCAGCTGATTGGTTGGGTGTTCTTTTTGTTGTCCTGCACAGGAGAACGGAGCGGGAAAGCAGGTTAGTGGGGTGGGGAGGGAATGGGATTTTGCAGTAACTTTCCCCCAGGAGTGGGGAGGGAATGGAGATTTTGCAGTATCCTTTCCCTGCCATGCCCATCAAGCCACACCACACCCACCAAGCCACGCCCATAGAACTGGTAGTAAAAAAAATTGAATCCCACCACTGATACAGAGTATTCTATTTTATTTAGTGGTGTTTATAAAATTCATATGTCACCCATCTCACTGTTGAGCGACTCTGGGTGGCTTACAACTTCATAAAACAGGAATATAAAACAATTAGAACATTAAAACATTAACAAAAAACTAGCTAAGGAAGGAACCAATACATAAATGAGGTGTAGGTGGGATCTTCTATCCATAAGTTACAGCTAATAGATAAAATCTGGGAATGTCTCTTTTATTTTTGGAGATAAAAGAATTGGATTTTCTTTTCAATGATACTTATGTGCAGAGCAGTGGGATAACCATCCTAGTGCAGTTCCCCCTTTTCAAAATGCAATCACTGATGCATTTGGCAACAAAACACAGTTTTTTTGTAAGAGTATCATAAGCAAAGTTGTCTTTTACATTTATAGATTGGGCATTACTTTTCAGTGATGGATAATGGCAAGGAAAGTCAAATTAGTAGCAGGTGAAGGGAATGTGACATTCCTTTTTAAGTACCATGTTTCTGTGGTGGACTATCATCTCTTTCCAATATTAATAAATTATACTTGTCTTGAGAGGTCTACTGTTCAAATGCTAACGCTGTAATCTTTATGATTTGCAGGCTGTAGGGGACTCCTTGCTCTATATGCTGGAGAAATGCCATGGTCCTGCCTTCAAGATGAATGTGCGTGAAGCCTGGATAAAGCTCTATAGCACTGTGGTCAAAGCCATGAGCTGTGGCTGGAATGTTTCCAGAAAGGTGGAATAATCTCTGATCAAGATGCTTGGAGCGTTTTGCTATTCTGTTTTCAGAAACAGCTATGATGAAAGAGCATGCTCACTTTTCCAGCTTGATGTATTTCAGAGTAATCTCAACAGCTTTCTTTCTGTCTGTTGCTTACTTTTGCATTCCATGTCTCTCTGTGTGACAGTGTGCTCTAGAATTCAGCGTAGCAGGTCCGTGGGTAGAGTGGTGTGTAAAACATTTCAGTCCAAACTGTTTTAAGTACCAAATTCTCCTCACCACAAATGTGAAATAGGCTGTTTGGAGTAATTTGGAACTGATTTGAGCTCTAAACAGTTCTTTTGATATCTTTATAATTCTCAAAACAACCAGATTTGTATTAAAAAAAGAACAGATTAACATTCAAATTGGGAAGTTTTGTGAAGATGAAATGATTCAAAATGAAATTTTGCATACCTCTAGTCTGTTTGCAGGTGACAAAAGTGAAGAAACCTGAAGTTGCAATTATATGTTGACTGCAGTGGCTTTCTTGCCTTTAAGCTCTTTTTTTAATTAATCATTTTTAAACAAGAGAATGGACAAATAGAAAAAAAAAGTATATAATGTTATAGTAACAGTAAGTGTCCAGAGATGCCAACATTATACAGTTAGTGCTCAGTATAGCATTTGATAAAAGGGTAGCCATAAAAACCAAAATACAGTCATTTTTAATAAAAAACAAAAGGATTTTAAAGATCTTTTTAAATCTCTGAGCTGAATGCATGATTTTCAAAAGCTCTTTACTCTCTTTGTTTATAAAGATCAACTGCAAAGATTTTTTTTTTTAGCATACAAAGGTATTTGGGCTAGCCGGGTTTTTTTTTAAGTAAGGAAAGCTTGGTATTCTTTCTGTAAATGGTGGGCATTTCTTTTGGATTATATAAGCAGTACAGGTTTTTTTTTCCTTCCCCCCAAAAGTGGGTTAATTCTTCTATACACTATACAATGGGGCTGGAAAAAAGTTGGGCTTTTCAAATGCTTAGTCTCAAGTTACAATTTAAAAACCAGTAAGTATGCAATAGCTGCCAGTTCCTTTTGTTCAAAAATAAAATCTTGAAGTGGAATTATAACTGAGGCAGGGAAAAGCTTAGGAGAACGTTTCAACGTTGTCCTGATTTCTAGCTGGAGATCCATCCCATAACATCAATTTTTGTCAATTGTTAGGTTCTCACATCTTCTCTTCTTCCCAAGGCACTGTTTTACGACTCTATGGGTGCCCATGGAAGAGAAGGGAAGACAAGAATGATCAGCAGCACGGTGGATGGATTCAGTTACAGTAGCAATGGAAGGCCTGAAGGATCAGAATAGGGAGAAAATCAATCTATGCGGTGTTGAGAGTTGACAGTGTCTTGATGGCACACAATCAAGCATGGGTACCTGCTAAGACAACCTACCTTTCTGAGTTTTAATTAAAACTACCTTTCTAGTTCTTGATCTAGTACCTGCTTTGAAAGTAAGTAACAATTCCTTAATTTTTGGAGTAGAGAGGGATCATTTTAAAACAGTGCAGTATTCTTTCTCTTTTTCTGTTTTTTCTCCAGAGGTAAATTGACTCATAGAAAAAAAAATCCATGGAGGTCAACTCTGGACTTACTGTATAAAATGGCAATGTGCCTTTCTTCATGGTAGGGAAAGAGCATTGTATGACAGTAGGATGATAGAGCAGTTTGAGGTCCTTTTACCAAACTATTGAGCTAAGCATATATACTTGGAAATATAATTTTGTACCAGGGCTGTCAAACTCAATTTCATTGAGGGCCTCAGTTTCATTGTTTGACCTCAGGGTGGGTGGGATGGGCATGGCCAGCTCAATGTCACTTGTGTCGGGCATCTGTGGTGGCCTGGGCAGGGCAGGGGGGGATCCACTGTCTCCAGCTGAGGAAGTCGAGACCAAAGAGAGCACCGAAACCTTGTCCTCCAGTGGAGCCTCACTGTCCCTCTTAGGCCACACAGAGGACCTCCAGACAGTGGCACAGGCTGTCCAGAACCCTAGGCAGCAGAGGGAAAGCACCCATCCCGGCCCTCAAACTCGCAGGGCACTGGGATCCCACAGTCCAGCCCAGTCTCACTTCCCCCAGGGTGTGCCAAGCTGCACTTGCATCCTCCTCAGGGCTGCTGCTGCTGGTCTCACTCTCCTTGGTGTGTGCAGGAGGGCAAAATGTGTGGGTCAGAGGAAGGCCCACTCCCTTCCCACGCAAGGAGACCTGGCTTTGTAACCAAAGTATCCTCACTGATAGGATGGGAGACCACTAGGAGAGGTTGGAGACCACTAGGATGGGAGACCAGCACCAGAAGATGGGAGACCTGATGGGAGACCACCAGGAGAGATCCCTCTCATTATAATCTTCCTTCCTTCCTTCCTCCCTCTCTCCCTCCCTTCCCTCCCTCCCTCCTTTTTCCTTCCCTCTTTATTGTCCGTTCTTCTTCCTTCCCCTCTTTCCTTCTTTTTCCTTCCTTGCTTTCTATCCATCTTTCCTTCTTTTTCTTTGTCTTTCCTCTTTCCCTTTCCCCTTCCATGTCCCTTCATAGGATGTGCAAATGCAGAAGGGGGAAACATTTCTCCTTTTGTTTTGTTTTGCTTTTACTTTGTTTTGCTAGCCCTCTGCCATGAAAATGGAGCTTGTGGAAGCCACATGCGCAGCTCCATTTTCGCTGGCAGAGGACTGCAGGAGACCATTGCACCGAAAACTTATCCTGGGTGCGCTGCACACGGCCTTCCTGAGCTCTGTTTTCTATGGCAGAGGCACCATGGTCTGATCCTTCACTGCTTCCAGGGTGGCCTTGTGGGTCAGATCTAAGCGCCCCACCAGCTGGATCTAGCGTGTGGGCCTTGAGTTTGACACCCTTGTTCTACCCTGAATTATTCCACAAACACCATTGGAATCATTCTAGGATTAAGAAAGATCTGCTTTTCTTTTGCAGATCATGAAAATACAACTTTTATAAAACCTTCTTGCCAAATAAATTAGTTAGGATTTGAGGTGCACAAAATCTTTTGATTCGCTTTTGCCTGGAAACACTGATGCTATCATTCTTTTGGAAAGTATTAGTAGAAATATTTTCAGTTAATGTAGAATTATATCTTGAGATATTACTTAATATTTGAAACTATATAGTTTTGATGACAACACATGGGGTAATTTTCTAAATAAAATAAGAGTTGTTTGCCTATTATCATGCTTTATTACCATGCCTGAAATTTTGCCTATAAAAATCAGTTTACAGTCCCACCTTGGCATTTATTTAATTATTGCAATATCATTGTAAGAAATATGTATTCTTTTGTGTTACACACACAACATGCACACACATACATTTTCCCCCAAACAGGCCAGGACAATTACTTTGAAGGATGTCAGAAATTGTCAGAGGATGCCATGTATTCTAGAATGTAATGATGGTGTCAGAATCTTCAGTGGAGTTTATTTCATCTGTGAGGCAGTGGTGATATTTCTTTTAAAGACAAGGAATGTAGCATTACATAATATTTGTGAGAACTTGGATGCATAATACTGGAATGACAGGAAATGATATCCTTTTTATTGGTTTATTGCTCCTCTCATTATTTTGTCAGTTTGTGGCTCTGAGGTCCACAGATGCTCAGGTCCACATGTATGGAATACACTTGTCTATGAAATGACAAACATTAACTGTATTTTGCTGTTGTGTGCATTTCAGTTCTGTGATAGAAGTGCTATTCATTACCTGATTTGCCACCCTATTTCTCCTCTACTAACTCTTCTAATTATTTCCCCATAACTGCCTATTCTTCTATCATCTTGAATGTTTCTGAGCAATCCCAGTGAACAAAGTCTCCTTTTATCTCCCTTATTTCAAGACATTCCAATGGGGAATTCCTAGAATATTGAATCACATTTTATTTAACAGCGTGGGGAAGCTGCAGACACCAGCAGAAATTATCAGAAAAGCTCTCTGGGGAAGAAAAATATTATAATGAAGGAAAGTAACATAAAGGAGAAACAGGCATCATATGTCTACTGACTGATCAGATTTTATATTGATATAATAAAGTATCTGTCTAGGTTCTTCTAATGGCTTCTCTCTTAATAAAAATGTTGATGTAATTTTTGGATTGAAGACTTAGATCAAATAGCAGATTTCTGTTGGCTATTTGTCAATGTGGCCTCTAAAGGTAATAGAATTATATATTTTCAGTATTGGGCTCATGTAACATATTTAACACATCTACAAATCCAGTCTGATGGGATACAAAAGCTTAAAGACAGTCCCTTGGCCTGCATGATAACTACTCTGTTTCCTTTCTCTTTTCTAATAGTTTTCTCGTACTCTGTTCTATTTTTTCTTTCCCTCAGTCCATCATTATTATCCAGTAAACAGAGATAGATCTGTGTTATGACCCTGATTCCCGAGCCTATGCTGTCAGAGGAAGAAGACCTGGAAGATGAGAAGGAGGAATTGGGAATGCCTTCCTCCTCAGGACTTTCCTCTCTGGCAATGCCTTCCTCCCTGATAATGCCTCAGGTTCCATCAGACAACTGAGAGGAATAGCCTGAGTTTAATCAGGAGGAAGGCATATCGGAGCAGCCCCTGACAGGGAGTAAAGAGGAAGAGTGTTGGCTTGATCCTAAGCAGCGTCGTAGGGAGAAACGTGAGCAGCAACGTAGGAGGCGTGGGAGGGTCAGAGAGTGAGCTGAGTCATTGAGCCACACCCCACAGGGGATAAAAGTGGGTGTGTTTTCGGCTAGAACTTTGTACGGGACAAAGTTTAATCTTACTTCAGATTTTCTTTGTGAATGATTTTTGTGGACTGCCTTGTAATTTTCTGTGAGTAGATTTTTATTTGTTATCAGTTCAGACTTGGCAGGCAGAGGGTGTTGGAATGCCAAGGATATTATCAGTTCCAAAGAATTAACTCTGTGAAGTCCGAGCCAGCCAGCCTGCCTGCTTGTGTTTGTGTGAGTTTGTATTCTTTCATCTTTTGGGAAAGAAGAAAAGTGAGACAGAACAGATCTGAATATGACTGCAGATAGCTGTGGAATATGGTTAGCTAGCAATAGTACAAAATATGATCAGATTCTCTGTTGGCCATAAAAAAGTCTTTTATCTTCCTTTTCCCAGTCGTGCATTAATATGGTCTTGTTTAAATAAAAGAATTACCCGCTGAATCTTCACACAGTTCCTCAGGGCCTGATTCTTTCTTATGCCTATTCAATTAGTATCTCATCACATTAGATAATTGTAAACAAGTGGCTCATAATTATGATTGAATTTTATTTCCTTGAAGAAACAGGAGAAGAGAGAGACACATCTGGATCTGGAATGCACTGCTTCCAATTGCAATGACAGTTCAAATTATGGACTGCAAATATCACCCAAAATGCCAGAGCTATTTTATGCCTCTCCTAGTTCTTGACTGCTTTTTTTTTGTTTATCTGCATGCAAGGGCACACATATACACCATATTTTGTTAAATTCTCTAAAGAGATAAAAATCAACATTTGGGGAATGTCAGTCCTCCATTGACTATTGTAGCTATATATTTATTTCATTAGGACAGGGGTCTCCAACCTCTGGTCCATGGACCTGCCCCAGGCTGCGACATGCCAGAAACCGGGCTGTGCAAACAAGTGAAGCTCCATCCGTGGGATGCAGGCAGCATGCAAACCCCCCAAAAACTTTCTCCACAGAACCAACCCCTGGCATCCACTGCACTATGTCATCAGCACTTGAGGGATACAGTGGCTCAGTTGCTAAGACTCTGAGCTTGTCGATCAGAAAGGTCAGCAGTTTGGCGGTTTGAATCCCTAGCACCACATAACGGAGTGAGCTCCCGTTACTTGTCCCAGCTTCTGCCAACCTAGCAGTTTGAAAGCATATAAAAAATGCAACTAGAAAAATAAGGACCACCTTTGGTGAGAAGGTAACAGCGTTCCGTGCACCTTCGGTTTAATCATGCTGGCCACATGCCGTCTTTGGACAGCACTGGCTCTTCAGCTTTGTAACAGAGATGAGCACTGTTCCCTAGAGCCAGAAATGACTAGCATGTATGTGCGAGGGGAACCTTTACCTTTATATTAGAACTTTAGAAAATGTTTATTTACTTCGTATATGCCTACTTGAATATGCCTACTTTTTCCAGTAGAATTAGGTCCACGTATATCTTCTTTCAGCCCATACAGAATGCTGCCATTCTTCCTTGATTGCTATCACAGAAGAGAAGGAAAATCATGGCCACATAGTGGATTATTCTGTCTTCTGTTTTGGGATTATAAGAAACCAACATGCATCTGGCTACTAGTATCTATTCAGATTGCTATAATTTTTGCAGGAAAAGGCCATTTGTGCCCTTGAGTTCAATAACTTGCTTAGTGAAGGAATTCAAATTCTAGCACCACTGGCTATTCATCCACTGGGTGACTCTATTCCATAAAGATAGCCTACCCACTTTTGGGGGGATAATTGGTTCTGTTGTTCAATTGCTCTTGCAGTTAGCAAGTTTTTTTCTTACCTTCAGGAGATTTCTTTGCTTTCCTTTAACATTGTTCTGTGTTTTGCACTCTAGTCTAGAACAATAGAAATAGCTCTTCAACATCTGTTGCATGGCAACCTTTCAGATATGTAAAGAGTACACTTCCTCCTTAGTCTCTAGACTGGATATTCTTTATTCCTTCAATCTTTCTTCGAAGGGCTTGATTTCTAGTCTCCCAATCTTCCTTGCTACACTTACAATTTGTCTGAATCTTTCCTAGAGTGTGGTGCTTAGAAAATGACAAAATATTTAAACTGGTTTCTAACCAATTGAAAAAAATTACATTTGTCTCTTAAAAATTTTATGTTATTTACAGCTGATTTCTCTTAGTATCAAGATTCTTTTGAGTGTTGCTTCCAGAATATTAACTATTCCATCCAATTTTATCTAATCTGAATTTATATAATTATAATTTGAAAAGCATTCCTTCCATTTTTCAAGTACTCATTCCAAATGCAATTATTCTCATTCCACTAAATGCTAAAAACAGTCCCTAGACTGTTTGCACATCATTCTATGTGCAAAATATATATTCTCCCACTTAATTATTACTTTTTCTCCCAGAGTGTCACGGGTTTTGCAGTTCAAGTCAAGATGGAAGAATTGCACTAGCGGTTGAAGAAAAGTGGCATCTATTTTTCTTCAGTTCTAGGATCTTCCCACCTCCAGAAGGGATACTTATTGGGCAGTGCTATATGTCTTATATTGCTCTACATTCATCTCCATTTTGAATAAGTTACATGGATATTGATAGATGAAAGCTGAGGATCATAAACCTTTTAAAACATTTCATATATTTCCAGTTTGCAGGTTATTGCTCAACACTAAGGAGAGCATTTTTTTGATTCTCCCTTTGTCCAGCTTTGATTTCAAAAGTACATTCTACCATTGCTTCATGCTTCTTCTGGGATGTGCTGTGTATGGACATAGATGGACCACGATTTTGCTCAGGATTCAAAAGCTCTTAATCTGCCTTTTGAAACCCACATTTTAGGCTAATGCTTCCATAAAGCAAAAGCAAAAGGGGCCACTGGTATCCCTCCACAGCGTTTGTCCGATCTAGATCTTTTCTGCGGTCTTATATTATAGCAGCAATTTTGGCAAGAGCAAGCTAGCTTTCTGGGAACTCTGATTTCCATAGAAACAGAACAAGGAATTTGCCAAGGCAGATGGTTGCCGGCAACAGCAGCAGCAGGTAGCCCTTCCTCATTGCCTGAGAGTCATGGGGATTGGACTTCTAGGTGAAAGTAAGTACAGCACAGATGATTGCATATTATTATTTAAATTAGAGCAGTACTGGTTTGATCTGATGGTGAGAGATTTAAGAATATAGGGCAGGGACTTTTAATCTCCCTAAACATGAAAGGACTAAGTTGATGCACTTCCGCATATTGTGTTCCTTCCCCTTTGTGTATAATTGATTCGTGTATGGATGCTGCGCTAAATGAATACTGGATCTGACCTCATAAGATGCTGTTAATGTTCTCTACTGCTTACCTCAAGACTTTATACAACCATGTTCATTATGTAACAACTTTGTTATGTGAAATTGCCACTACGTACCAATTTTAATAAAAGCTATACTCAGCAGTGGAGTTAAGGTTCATGGAGTAATTGCATTTATTGTTTGGTTAATGTGATCTTGTGCCAATCATCCAAGTCAGTCATTTAGCAAAGAAAGACTCCTGGCCATTTTTTCTGCCAAGGTCAGTGTATTTTACTGAAGTTCAAATGGTTACAGAAATGGGGATAACTAAATCTGAAGTTTTCCCATGCAAACACCACAAAAGAAAGGTCCCCACCCCTGGCCACTTCTACCCCCCACCCAATTATCTGCAAATGTCCAATCGGATGCTTATAAATATATAAGCATCCGATTGGACATTTGCAGATAATTGGGGGTGGGGTGGGGGGAGGAAACAGGTGCTGGGTTCCCTGCTCTGCATTTCTTACTTGACCTTGGCTGGAGCTTCTCACATGGCTCAGCTGGGCTTCCATCCCCCTCCCTTTCCTTACATTCTAAACTTTCCCCTCCACCCCCCATTGCTAATGTCAGATCTGTCAGCTCATGAAGCTTGGGTAGGTAAGATGCCACCATGACATACTGAGAATTGACATTGCAATAAAAGAAATTATTCAGCATTAAGGTGGTTTAAAAATGCATTCTAAACAAAATAAAGCAGTCCACTTTTGTGAACAATGGATGAATCAGATTTGTAGTATATGTTTTTTTGGTAACCAGACTTTCAAGTGTATTTCTCCTACTAGTATATTCTCACTCCCTTACATCTCTCTTGCCCACCTGGTGTTCTGTAAATATATTGGAATTCAACTCATGGGAGATTAGGAAAAGTAGTTTAACTGTACATTTGATAAGTATCAAACTGGAGAAGGCCGCCATGCAAATTTTTTCAGAACAGATTTATATCACATCTTTTATAGATCAACTGTGAGAATAATTACTTCATAAATAAAACCTATCCCCAAAATACTTTTATTTGGGTTTCTGGTAGTCTTGCCAATAGTAATAAAAATGTATAAGTATGTATATAAGTAAATTTGTGTTTAAATGTTTATTCCAAGAAGGTCAAGAAGTACTATACCCTTCTGGAAAATATTGCTGCCAGAAGGATTCTATCATCTGTGTTGCCTTAGATCAGTCTTTTATGATATTATGCACACATACACAACTATTGCTCCCACTCCTCATTCTTTATGGATACCAGAATAATTCCATGTTTTGTTTTTTTGAATTCTGTGGATGAAGGGAATGGGAAGAAATAAAGTCTTATAGTGCCACAGAAAAATCCTAGGCATTCTTTTCAATTAAATAATTAGGGAAATGTCTGTAGTACTAGGCCTTCCCTTTCATTACTTCTTCTTTTTGTGGATAATGGTTCAGAATGGGAAACTATACTTTTTTCCTACTCAGTGGCCAAAATAATCTACGAATGTGTTTATTCAGAAATGACCAATGGTTTTTGTCAATGTTTTGCCCTAATTTTAATTCAAGTTTTGAGTCTCGATTGGCAGCATTCACTGAGTGGATTTTCTCCAGCATGCATTATGCAGGTAGCGTTCAACTCACCACCGCAACTGAATCCAGAATTGATGTTGCTAAGTGAAAAATTCGCTAAGTGAGTTATGTCCCATTTTATGACTTTTCTTGCCACATTTGTTAAGTGAATCACTGCAGTTGTTAAATTAGTAATATGGTTATTAAGGGAATCTGGCTTCTCTATTGACTTTGCTTGTTGGAAAGTCACAAAAGATGATCACATGAACCCAGGACACTGCACTCATTGTAAATATGAACCAGCTATCAAGCATCTGATTGTAAATCGTGATCATCGGGATGTTGCAACAGTCGTAAGTGTGAAAAATGGTCGTCATTTTTTCAGTGCTGTTTTAACTTTGAAAGGACACTAAATGAACTGTTGTAAGTTGAGGACTACCTATACATGGTGTCAGGGTTCTGGCAGTTACTCCAATTAAATCATGAGCCTTGAGCCACACTCCCAAAATTAAAGAGGATTTATTTGAAGCTACCATTCTACATCCGACACTAACCTGGGTGTAGCCAGCTCTGAGATACGTAGTTCACTGTCACCGTTGATCCTGCTTTCCCCCCTACCCCTCTGGGTGTATCATCCAATGAAAAACGTCCATAGCCAAGAGTCATCAATCATGCTTTCCAATTAAAATTTTTTTCGCAGCAGAAGCTTCAGCCATCTAATCAGTCTTTGAATAAAATATGAATGGAATGTACTTTCAGTTTCACACTGTTGCCAACTCTTTGAACCCCCCCCCTTCTTTCTGTTGTCAATTGTAAAACGTGTATACAAAATGTTTTATGAGTTGACACATGGTTAGCCATATAGATAGTGATTGCCAGTGAATTAAATCCCCTTATTTGCCCTGAGTCTTAAGATATAGGTTACTTTGATTGGATTACAGAAACTCCAGAACCTTCATATCCTTCATGGATGCATATTTAGCAATATGAGTCACAACAGATTCAAGCAAGCAAAGGATTGTTTCAATGGCGATTCTGGTTTTATAGTGCAGCCATTTAAGAGTATCTTACTAAATTGAGAAGATTGCCCAATATCCACTTGGCTTTATCCCAGACCTTTGTTGCAAAGGTTAGAACTTCTAAATGGGAATACACTTTTTCAGGCAAGTCTCTGAGTTACCGTCTGAAGTAGAGAACTCCTTGAATTGTGCTTGAGCTTCTCTCAGGCATTATGCGTAGTTGATGGGAGAGTGGAAATTTTCACTTTGATGCATCCATTATGCTTGTTTTCATAAATCCACAAGGGTTTTATTCTCTGATTTTTTTTCCCCCATTTGTTTTGGTAGAATTACTGTACTGAATAGCCCACTTCATTTTTTTACAGCCTTTTGTTTCTTTCTTTAGAGAGTTCCCTTCTAGTATAATTGGATTCAGATTGTTCCTTTGTTAGCTAATTGGGTGTTATAATCACATAAGTTGTACTTAATAATTTAAGCTTCACAAGGTTTAGAGGACCTAAGGAGTCTTAAAATCAAAACAATATAGATTAATGATGTTGCTACTTCCATCCCTTCTCCAGCTGGGCTGACTTCTAGGAAGCATTTGAGTGAACTCAGGATCTCCATCTCTTGGCTTTTCAGAGAAAGTAACTAAATTGCTCACTTCCTTTGGAAGTGTGAGAGAATACCTTTTCAAATAAGGAACTTCTCTAATCTTACTGGAGTCAAGCAAGTTTAGAATTTATATACAGTATGTTTATCCAAGGTTCCATATTGCTTGGGGAATTCAAATGACAAGACTTAAATCAGTAGATATTTGACCTCAATTTCATGTTAGAATAGCAAAACAATCTAGGAAAGAATACTGTATGGGAGAATTGGGGACTGTTATGTCAAGGGCATAACCTCACAGTTCTTCCTTGTAAATTATATTCTAAGGCCACATGCCTGCCTTTCTGGACACACTTTGGCTAAATGCAGAATTGTGTAAGGTTGCTAGGATGGGGTTACAGCTGCATGCAAGAATTGAAAGACGCCGCAAGAGTCACTTCTATCCCTTCCTCCCTTTGTTCAATTTCCCTCTGCAATCTTCCTCCTACCTCTGCTTTCTGAGAAATATAGAACTTCTAATTCCTAACCCTTTGTCTTATTTAGCAGAACCATTTCAGGAATTTTCTGACTCTCTTGGCAGCCCTGAAATTTTAATAAAGCTGTTCATTATAGAAGTATTTCTAGCTTGATCCATTAATTGAATGAAGAAAAATGGTTGTATAAAGGCTTTCTCATCTTTAGCATGCATATGAGAAATGAGAATGCTCCCTTTACAATGAAGTCTAAGTGCGAAAGGATGGGGCTGAAACGATGCCATGAAAGTTGGTACTAGAAATTTACTAAGAAATAAATAAATGAGAGATGTTTATGATCAGATACCATGGGTTCACAATAAGCTGAAAGATACTCTTCAATTTTTTTTGTGATGGTTCTTACCTGACCCAAATTTGCCCTATTCTAGCCATCTGGTTTTGCCACTGATTTAGCTTGGCACACTGCATGGTGCCTACCAAATCATACACAGGTTAATAGAAAGTGAGAAAGAAAAGAAACAGAATGTAATAGCTTGATAGACATCATAGTTGGCTAGAACTCAGCAACAGTTCAACATCTACAATATCTACACTGCAATATTTTGGTTATTTTTTTCAGGTTCTGTTGGTCAGTTTGATGATGTAGATGGTTATACAAAACCTTTAACATAGCCAGTTACCATAGATAGGTGTAAATTGTTCTACTGCTGCTTTTATGTGTTTTCTACCACAATTCATTTATGGATTAGACTGTGATTTTTCCAATCATTTCCATTGAATCAGATGTTGATTTTTAAAGAGTCAACTAATCAGAACTATTGGAGCTCTTATACTTGATACATTGATGTCTCGGTATCCTACTGAATAAAGCAAAGTAAGATTCTCCAAATAAAACTGCTTCAGAAGGATTTCTGTTCATGTATTACTCTGTATTAAAATGTACAACTCAATCCATATTAAAAGGTGTAGCTCAGGGACCAGTGGGGTGGAGCAACTTAAGGCCTAATCATAGCAGTAAATCTTAACAGCATTCAGAATTCTTGCTATATTCCAATGGAAGTCGATTCAGGAAATGACGAGAGAGCTCTTTCCTGAAGACACCATTTTTTAATCCACAGACATTTACGAAATAAGAGCAGCTGAGAAAGGAGATGGCTGGAAGTTTGCTACGTTAGCAGGTGAATGGGCAAAGATCATTTCATGGGAAATGAAAGTGACCGTGCTGGAAGGTCTCTGTGGAAGTAGCAGGAAATGGCAGGGCCTACGTGTGGATGGGTTCCTGCTACTTCCACGGAGGCCTTCCAGCATGGTCACTTTCATTTCCCATGATACACTGGGTCACTTTATGCTACTCTTGACATGTCAAAGCCAAATAGAAACACAAACAACTTCCTTCTCCATCCTTGAAAATGTCATTATGAGAGTACTATCTTAGTCTGCCGACCTGGTAAGTTATCTGATCCATTTCTGCATGAGAATGAAGACTAATACTTCTATGGATGGGAAATTTAGAAGGCAACCAAGAGCAGCAACATCGGCATACTTACTTTAATGGCTCTACACATGAGAATTGTTTGGTGCAGCGAACCTTAATATGGAACTCAGTTTTAGGCCATTTAACTATGTAGCTTTTTAGACAATATCTATTTGAAGTCCTGGAGCACAATAATGTTGGGCCTATTAAAGGTCCCAGGATAAGCAATAGCAATAGCACTTAAGACTTATACACTGCTTCACAATGCTTTACAGCCCTAAGTGATTTACAGTCAGCCTATTGCCCCTAACAATATGGGTCCTCATTTTACCAACCTTGGAAGGATGGAAGGCTAAGTGAACCTTGAGCCTGGTGAGATTCAAACTTTGAAATTGCAGTCCGCTGGCAGTCAGCAGAAGTAGCCTGCAGTACTGCATTCTAACCACTGTGCCATAAGGAAGATTAACATATACTGAGAGTCATACATGCATGTTCTTCAGCTTTCTGCAAAGGCAACTCTGTAGTTCTGCAGCTATCATATCTGAAATCACAGTATTAGTGGTCCCTGAAAGACTTAATTTGATGGTCCTGCCTGTAATGCCATCAGCGAATGGAGCAAACTAATCAGTATGGAATATTCCCTTACTGTGCTGTGTGAAACTGTACCAAAGTAAGATAATTCATCTCCATGTGTTCCCTGCTCTGTCTTAAGTCTGTTGCCCCCACCCCATTTCACCATTAGAAATCTTTCTTCTTTTGCTTCAAGACACATGCTGAATTCCTTAATAATCGGGACATTTAACAATATATATTGCTGCTGCTTCTAAAAATGGGTGATGATGTCTCGTTTCCTTGCATGCCTAAATGAGAGAGGTGGGATTATTCACGGTGCTTCTACAATGAGATCAAATTTCAATACACTCACTTGATATAAGAGATTGCTGCATGGATTGTAACTTGGAGGGCTCAGAGGCAGCAGGTTGAAATGGTGTCTTCTGCTTCTTTGAGGTTTAGTCCAGTACACTTGAGGGTCCCCCAAAGGAGGAGATTGAAAATGGGGGCAGTTTTTAATGCCAGTCTTTATGACTAGTTTATAGTTCAACGTGCCCTACAGATGCAGAACATTCAGCAAGCCCATAAGATTCAGCAAGCCCATAAGAGACATGAACACTGCCTACATAAGGATTGAGATTCAGATTTGGGGGCTGATACTCTACAAAATACACACATTTGTATTTTTTATTGTAGTTTTTTTCCCTCTGAGTTATGTTCCAAATACGATTGAGCTGAACTCCCAGCTAGTGTGTCACAATCCCAAGTCAAGGAAGGCTGATTTTAATGTACTTGCGTCCAAGCTACGTAGGGCATACATGTAAAATTCAAGTAACACATAGAAGATGTACAGTAAGTCTGCCAATTCCTTGCAAATAAGGTTTCTTAAGTTTATAAGAAGCAGTCTTCTTCCTCTGAGGTCAACAGCAATTATGGTATTATGCCTACCATATTTAAATGGGGAAAAGGGCAGAAAGGGAAGAATGAAATCCTCCTTCTTTAAACAGTCAGTTCTCAGGTACACATTCTTTCCTTCTAAATGTAGCATAGCTTTATATGTGAAAATGTATAAGTGAAAATACACTTACAATATACAGCCTTTGCCAATTTCACATAACATCCAGTTATGTTTTTTTTTTTAAATGAAGTTTACCTCAAGTCAAATGTGTGCCTTTGGATGGTGCTAAATTCCACTTTCCAAAGAGTCTAGACAGCATGGCCAATTTGGAAAGATTATAACCATTATACACTAATAGCCTCTCGAGTGTCAAGTTACAGGCAATTCTGAAGTGTGGGATTGTACCCTAATGCAATCAATCATTGAAGAGTCTCAACAGCAATTCTCAGTGCTTTAAAAAGTATTCTTTTTTAAGGGTATTTTTAGGTGAAAGTTTAATTTATAAGGTTTATGTTTAGGATCCCTGTCCTAACTCAGCCTTGGTTTATGCAAATCAGGTTTTCTTCTGAATTCTTGAATTGATGTAGCTTGAGCTAGACATAGTAGAGGTTCATGATCCCCAAACTGTATCTTCTAATTCCTGTTTCCTTAAAGAAAGCCATGAGTTATGAAGTTCTTCAAAACACGTCGGTAACGTTAAATGATTCTGGAAATTCTGTTCCATTGCACTAATATTTACTCAGACTAAGAATATACTTGGTGAAGCTCAGGAGAAAGGCAACTTTTGGTTTGTGGTGAATTGCTGTTTTATACACAAACCAGCCACCTTTTAGTCAGGCATTAGCGTGTTACATTTTTCTGCTAATGTTTTACACATGTGGAGGCAGTAAGAACATTACGTGGCAGATACTATGTCCTTGTTCTGATTTTTTCTTTCTTTCTTAACTTCTACTGAGCTCACCAGTCTCTTTTTCTCAGAGACAATATTTCTTCAGTTTTTGAATTCTGCTGTCTCAGAAATGGCTGAAGAATATAAAAGTCAAGGTGGCTCTTCCATTGGAGAGAAATGGACTTGTCTGCTTATTCCAACTGGAGATGTCATCCTGACCTGAGGACTGTTTTCTATGAAACTTGGAAGAGAAATCCACATTTAGTCAAATTTCTGTTTTCTGTCTTTTTGTTTCATTTACTATTGTAGAACAGGAAAACATTTATCAGGGAAAACCTGTTCAGCAGAGCAGCTTAGTACTATGCAGCATATTTTCTCCATTTATAACAACCATTAAGTTCGGAACATTTCACTTGCTTATTACTTACAGGATTGATTAAACTGCATTCATAGCATAACAATCCTGTGAAAAAAGAGAGTGGTGATTTTCTGCAAATCACTTATGAGTTCTCCCCCTTACTTATTCTTTAATAGCATTACTCATCTCTGAGAAATTTGCAGACTGGTCCATTGTAGGTCTAACAACACAGTTCAAGAGAAAGTGCACAATGCATTAGACCCAGGAACTAGCAGAAGGTTCTGTGAGAAACAGTTGCCTAATGCAGATCGAAGAACCTGTGTGTCTCCAGCTTCCAGTGTCCTCACCTCCGATGATGCTTTCTGGGATTACATTTCCTCTGCTGGAGGAAAGGTACACAACTTCCTGACCATGATCTAGCTGGTTAATGTTTGAATGCAGTTTAACTAGAAGAAGAGTTGTATTATAGTGGTGGCAAAACTGAACCATTCCCATGCACATGTCTAATAGAAAGCAATTCTGAAAAGCATATGTATTATTTGGTTGTCTTCTTCGGAACTTTCCAAATTTAGGCATGTGACATCATGCCAGCTGATGACTGGCAACCTCAAACATGCTGGTGGAAAAAAGGACAATGTGTTGTTTAAGGACAGAGATTTCACGTCTGCCTGCCATTTCACTCCAGTTTTTACAATCATCTTAATGTCACCCTAGATGTGATTAGGGAACACTCTTGTGTTTAAATCTGGTTCTTCTTCAGTTGTGCAAATGCTTTCCCTATTAAAGAAAAAATATGTGGTTGATATAAGCTAAACCTTTCACCTTTCCTTAAGTTGTCTGATGATCAACCTTTTTCTGTCCCTGTTTTATATAGGAAACTGGGCCAGATTTTTATACACGTGGCTCTACCTATTAGCATTAGAAACCTGCTTTCCCCTTCTCCCATGTTGCAATCTGCTGTCAAACCAGGAATGGGGAAGTTCCCACCTCATCTGATCCAAAATAATGCCAAATCTGAACATAGCATTCTTCTGCTTACCAAGCCAGCAACTAGAAAAACAGAGACAAGTTAGGCTCGTCACTTCAACCGAACCAGCACGGGAAGTCTTTGGCAGTGGATTTGGACAAAAGCAGTAACAAAAGCAGCAGAAGCATTATCAGGAAATATAGGACTTTGGTTCTGCGGCTGGCAATATACTGAGACTTGCAGTGATTGTGAATGTATATCCAAGGATGCTCAACTTTCCCTATGTCTTTACCCCTTTCACTGATGGTTTATAGAAAGGACCGCAGCTATTGTGGCCAATGCATTGATCAAATCAAAACGGTCCTTTCTTTTTGCTGCCATGAGAAGATTGCTCGAGCTAGAGAAATATTTTCATATGGCCAAAATATTTCTTTTTAAAAAGCAAAATAGGGGGAGAGGGAGGAAGAGAATATGGAACAACTGAGTATTCAGAAGATTTACCCAGAAGACACAGAAAGAGCCAAGCAATGGCAGTTTGTCAACCTGGAGCAGAACAGAGGTAACATATAGAACATGCTGCTAAGCAGCTGGTGTATAGGATAGAAATAACACTATCTCTTCAGAACATCTCAATATTCTGTATCTGAGCTCAACATCTCAATGTTTTAGATCCGTCATTCTAACAGCATGACCAGAGATGTCAGGACTTAAAAAGGCCCCTCATCCATCTGCCTGACCGGCTCTGATCCAAATTACAACTTCAGATCTTTCCCCCAATCTGGTATAGCAGCTCGGGGAAATCTAGATGTTGGGTTTTGATGCTTCTTTCCAGCATTCTGAAGATTCAACACTTCCGTCCACCCGTCTTTGGTTTGGCAGGATGAAATCAATGATAGTGAGTTTGGGTGTCCAGCAAGGGTCTGGTTCTATATTTGCCTTCTGTGTTTTCCAGTTCTGCTTCAAAACTTGGCAGGCCACCTTCCTCTATGTTCTCTGCTTGGTCCAGGTGGCTGCCCATCGTGCCATAAGACTGATGAGCTGGGGAAGCTGCTGGCGTAAGACTTAACTCTGGCTCTTGAAGCACAGTGGCCACAAACATCTGTAATGCAAAAGCAAAACAGTTAAATTCTGGTGCTTTTGGCTTTCCTCTCTGTAGCTAACAAAGTAGGTCACTCCTTCTCTCCTCCTTTCCAAGTTTGGCAACTGTATGGCAGCAATTACTGTTTGTGGCTTGTGAAGCACCTCTGAAACGTTAAAAACTTCTGGGGCACATACCTTGACAGGAATCTGTATAAGTGCAACTTTAATAAATGCAACTGTCTGGAATCTGTTTAATTGCAACTATCATAGGTGTGTAGGGCTTATGATGAATTATGAATGTACTTACGTTTGAATTGGGTGTGGAAGAGATGCTTTCTGTATCATTGAAAGCCCCATCGGACTGCTCTGACATCTGCTTGCAAACGGAGAAGAATGTAAATTGGATGCAAGATAAAAAAGCAAGAATGTTTGTTCTGTTTGGAAGTCCCTCCACAAATATAAACAATCTTAGAATTAAAACTGAGAGTGATTAAATAATGAT